CTTCATTCATTACGCTTGTCGGGGCGTGTCAGTGCGGCTGCGTTTGGCGCGGTACCGAAGTCGTTCTGCACCAACTGTTGAAGCGGGCAAGTGACATTACTGTATTATATCCTTCGTATTACTCGTTTTCTACCACTTTTTGTCGCATACGCGTTTCAACAAAAAAGGCTGAGAACGGCTTCAACAGTGTGCGCACTCCTACTGGCTGACACGCCCCGACAGTCCGCAACGATGAGGACAGTATGTTTTACAATCACCACTTATTACGGAATCCTCTGAATGATTTTAGAGCCTCTGAATGCCTCTAAAACTTCAGCTAAATGTCAAATGTGTCAAAGGCGTGGAAAGTCCTAATGGACTTGATCAGTGTACAATACAATCGCCATCCGGGCAGTTGATTAGGCGGTGAGTAGGGTCGCACGTTCACTGACGTCGATCGCTGTTTTTCAGGCCTATTAGCCATTTTCTCCTTGATTTTCAATTTGTAATAATTATTGTTTTAAAGGTAAGTTGTTTTTTGTATTTGTGAAGTGTTGTAAAAACGGCTGAAGTTTTTTTTCTTTTTCTGTGTAATGAAGTGGTTTTTTTTCGTTCTTTCTCTGATTGTTTGATTGTTTATTTAATTAATTATTTGTTCGCTATAACTACCGACAGTCCGTAGTGATGAGGATCGCAGTTTGAGACTCATGATCTGGAGGTAAAGAGGACGGGCACAGGAGTTAATAACTTTGAGAAAGGGGAAGGGGCACACCAGTAAGCGTTTGTTGTCATACCCAAGCCCACAAACTGTATACATTTAATATCAGATATTTTTGTCAGCACCCTATAAGCCTTGCTATCACCTGTCCAGCACTCCGCAAACTCTCGTCAAACTTGTCAAAATGACTGCTTAAGATTCGGATGTCGTTGCAATGACGCAAGTACCATTCCGCCAAGCCTTACAGCAGTTTACAGAGTGCTTGACAAGAATTACAGGACTTGCAGGGTGAGACACGGTTCTGAAAAGAAAACGAAAAACAAAGACAAAGACACACACCGAAAAAGCTCATATATGTGCCCCCCCCCTCCTCCGGCTGGGCGCCAGCACGCACTGATGTTCGATGGTTATGAGACTTCGCCCTTTCTTCTTTCCATCCAATTATTGCGAAATGCCTATCAAATGACTATTCGAGCTATATTTTGATCTCACGCTGTTCGGATTGTTGGGGGCACCAAATGCTACTCAGTCTTGATCGCTGTGGATGCTGCACAAATGTTCTCCACAAATGTTGGAGCGAGACGACAACAGTTGCTGGAAAAGGAGCTTGCGCCGCACGAAGCCCCTCCCCCATACACGCCCCTGCATCCGCAGCGAAGAAGACTGTAGAGAACACCTGCGAAACTAAAGCTCTTTTATACCGTTTTGTACCTTCTTAAGACTTTACGGGTCTTACCAAAGTGGAACCTATTAGTTAACATGAACTCGCCAAAAAAACCATCGAAAGTGCTAACTCACACTTCCCAGCCTCCCCCCCCCCCCTTTAGCCAAGCAGCGCCCTTGATCCTATCCAGTTCCTATAGGTACACTCCTTATCCCTGAGACGGAGTAGGCGTGGCATTCGAACATGGCCTAGGACGGGTTACTCGTGGGATATTTCAGTTTGAGACAACTCTCAGACAGACT